ACGAAGAATAGTTAAAGACCTTTTCGAGTTAACTGACAGAAGTCGTCGTTTGTAACACACACAAATGCAGGTCATATTTTTGTTGTTTATCTAAATGTATGATATGTTGCCTTCCGAGTAGCAAATTCGAGGTTTTGCTAAAGCAAATGATACAGTAATTGTATGTGCTAGTGGAGTTTTTCTTCATGGAAGTTGAATGATCTTCTGGTTATTCATTGAACTCTTTTTAACAACTGCACTAAATATTACAGTGATCTCTTTACATATAAAGGGTGAATCTCAGTGAGACCTTTTGGATGCATTATAGTTTTAAAGGTAATTCTTTTTATTGTTGTGATTTCTGTACAAAACTATTAAATCATTATAAAAGAAACATCACAAATGCATATTTTTGTGGCACTGTAACACCTTTAATTAATTTTAATGTAATTAAAATTAATATATAAATATAATTTTTTAATTTTGAATTTTTATTTAATGTAAAAATAAAGAAAAATAGGTGGAAGATGAAATTAAAAACAATTTTGGATAAAAGGGGTGAAATTTTAGGTTTTTGGTGTGTTTTTTAAAGAAAAATAAAAAATTGGGGGTCAAAATACAATTTAATAAAATTATACCACGTAGGATGTCTAGTTAGCAGTCTCGACGAACAGGAGTACGCCGCGTGGCAAAGCACGTTGATGCGGTGCTACACGGGAGGCCACGCTGGCGATCCGTGTGCCTGCGTCTAATGGTCTGAATTTGTTCCCGTGCGTGTGAACGGTCCGGATCCGTTTTCCTTTTAAATGCAATCGAACGGTGCAAATCAAATTGCGATCAATGGTCCAGATCTACTTTCTATTTAAACGCGATCAAACGGTTCAGATCAAATCGCGATGAACAGTCCAAATTTGCTTTCTATTTAAACGCGATCGAACGGTTTAGATCAAACGCGATAGACGACCCAGATTAAAAAGAGACGGATATAAATAACCTTCTTCACACCAAACCCTAACCTTTAACCGTCAGACCCCCCCGCTGGAGAAGAAGAGTCAGTCTTTGGGAAGGGAGTCGACCGCCGCCGTACCAGAGCCACTTTCGACTGTCAAAAGAGTTAAAATTTTCTCAATTCGCTTGAAATTCAATTTTGAACACCTCCATGGCAAAATCAAAGCAAAAGGACCGGCGGATGAGCCGAAAACCGCGAAAAAAAGCAAAAATCGACTCCGATGAGGCCATTTTTTATTTTCATTTCATGTAATTTTTTTACAATTGTAATCACAATTATTTTCTCTACAAGTTGACCGAAGCAAAATACCCAACCACGAAGGTGAGTCGGCGGAGCCGCCGCACCAGAAAACTCCGCCGCCGGTAAGTTTCAATTTTTTGACTTTTTTTGGCTAACTGAGACCCTTTAACGTATTTTTTTACAGGGATGAGTACAAAACCGACCGAAATCAGCTGAAAACAACTGAAAACGGCCAATCCGAGGTAAACCGCTACCGCGGGCGATGATGCCGTCGCCAGAGCATGGCGGAGCCGCCGTGCTGGAATTCTAGAATTGGCTAAAAAGGGATTCTAACATTGATTTTGGACTTTTTGGGGTATTTCTGAGTACTTGAAGCGTGTTTTAATCCATGAAGGAAAATTTAGGGAACCTAGGGACTGCCAATAAGCATAGCCAAAAGTTTAGCGTTCGAACACCAATTCGAGTAAGAATCCCTCACCTTATTCGCTGTTATGAAATTGAAGTTTAACTTTAAATAATATAGTATTTTGTGAAACTTAGAAAATATTCGAAATTAATTACAAGTTACTAATGGAGGCAGAAATTGTTATTTATTACTGTTAGCTATGTTTAACTGATTGCATGATTTTACAGTTTTCGAATGCATGATAATATACTGAAATTAGTATGATGATGCGATTGTGTTTCTTTGATGCATGTATTATTTGTTTTATGTAATTACAGTTAAATTAAGAAATAAAAAATTAAATGTAGATGGAAAATTGTCTGATTAAGTGGATGAATGAATGACAGTTTTATTGGATATTCTGTGAGATGGTGGACAGATTGGGTACATAGGGAAACCTACTGTGAATGTTGCCTTATATCGGATGGGGTATCGAGAATTGGTAATTTGACACTCATACTGGATGAGG